GACCCCGCACTAACCCCAAAAGCGACATCATGAGCACACGCAGGGCTCACCCAGAAACAGGCAGCAGGGGAGGGTGAGGCTGAAGGCGCCTCTTGCCCCCATAACTGTGGGGTCCTGCCCTCAGTCCCAAGGGAGGGGCCAGCATCACCCCCTTGGGAGATCTGTTACCGAACGCCGGTCTCAGTTACCCTCCGCCAATAAAAGGAAACAGAGTTTGAGGAGAAGGCAAGTGGCTATTTGTCTACAAATGCGGAGGGCAGCCGACTCATGTTCAGCAAGGGGGGGGGCAGAGTCCGCAGAGGGGAGGGCGTAAGAGTCGGTTTCGGTTTCGGCACAGAGACCAGTGGCCCAGCCTTTATTTACACAAAGCCAAACAGAAATGGGGAGTCACAGGGGAGGGCGCAGGGCCAGCTCAGGGAGGAAGAGGAGTCGTGCCTGCCAGCGGCTTCCTCGCGGTTTGCTTTTGTTCGGGATTTCCTTTCCTTGACCCTAAACCTGTCCAGAGAAGAGAAACTGCAAGGAAAGGAGAGGAGAAAGTAAACCCACAGTCACCGAAGAGCTCTGGGAAAACCAATCCCATCATGAATTTGTCAGAGGAGGCAAATCCGCAAATGCTTCTCCGAGAGCCCATTTACGGTGTCAGATCCAGGGGCGTGGGGGTCCTGCAGTCTGCTGATCCGGCCATGTCTGGGAGTACTTTGCAGCTGCTAACTGCGCAAAGTGGGTTCACTAGAGGTGCTCACCGAGGGGTCACCTGTGGGGGTGAAAAGGCAGCCCCACGCCAGCCTCCCTCCGAGACCAGGAGCCAAGGCTGGAGGGGCCACACAAGAGCAGGTGCTGGCCAGCGTGGCCAGGCCCTGGGAGCTCCTGGGCAGCTGTGTCCATGGTCATGGCAGCTGCAACTTGGCAGGGAAGGAGAGTGGACCCTGGAGAAGCAGCCGGAAGGATGCTTTAGGGGCGACCAACCATCTCCTTAGCAGAGGGGGGGCCCAGTGGGTCAGGAGGAAGGCCAGGACTGGTCAGGAAGAAGGTGAGGGTTGGGACTGCCCCTCCCACGCTGGCGGGGGCGGGGGGGGGGCGGGGAGAGCAGGGGTGTGGGATGACCAAGCTCCAGGCCATCCTGCTGGGACCCAGCCCCTCTGCTGGCAGGTGGGAGCCGCCCGCCCTCTTCCTACATCTGGGCGCTGGGCGCTTTGTTCTCTCAGAGACACCAACACAGCCTGACCCTGAGCCACAAGGAGCAAGTCGCCCAGCTCCAGGGACGGTCTGTGCCCGGCAGGTGCACCAGCTCCCCAGGCCGAGCCTGCACCCCACGTGAGGGACCTTCGCATGCTGCCTTGTTTGCTGTGTTGTTTGGACAGGAGGTCGGGGAAGGCATCTTGCTCAGGGTGCGGCCTGGCCAGGGTCGGACACGGCCTCAAGGGGGTCAGCCTGTTTTGTGGGCAAGTACTGGCCGGTGGGGTCCCCAGACCCAGCCTGGAGCCTGCTGAGCCCCAAGTGTTGGCCTCCTCCCCTGCCTGAGGGGCCCCAGAGCTGGGCAGGAGTGAAGGAGCCAGCCTGACATCCTGGGGGGCCAGCAGGGGACAAATCAGGGGCCCTGGGCTGAGCGCAGGGCAATGGAGAGAGGGTGCCTGTCCCTTCCAAGGGGCAGCTGCGGGCCCAGAAACACGCCCAGGACCACACCAGCTTCCCTAGGTCTCAGTCCCCACCTCCCCCCTCCCCCGCACCCCTTCCCCTCACCCCAGACCCCCCCTCCCAGGACCACACCAGCTTCCCTGGTGTGGGGGTCTCAGCCCCCACCTCCCACCCCTCACCCGAAGCCATCTGAGGTGCCACACTGCAGGGTCTTGAGTGACAAGGGGAGCTGGGGAGCAAGGAGGGGTGCGGGGTGCATGAGCTGGGGGGGTGGCCACTGGGCGGCGCCCTGGGCCCCGAAGGGCCACAGCGCCCTGTGGTCCGGGCTGGGGACACTGAGGTTGAGGCCAAGCCGGCTGCAGACTGGGCTGGGGAGCAGACACCGGGTGGCCCCGTCCAGCCTGCAGGTGGTGCTCCAGCCTGTCTGGGGCCCCGAGTCCCCAGGGGGGGCGCGGGGGCGGGGCCGCTGGCCGCTTAGGTTTCGTTTCTGCTTTCAGCCTTCAGGCAGCTTTCC